CACTGAAGTTATCTATTTGGATAAGGAAATTTCTAAGCAAAGTGTGAAAGTTGTGGCTTGGCTTCTCTTGACAGCCTACATTAAAATGTGAAAGTGGAGAAAAGATTTAAAGACAAAATTGTTAAGCAAAGGGAAGCAGCACTTAAAGATTTGGAAAAGTCTCACCCTAGACATATTATAAAAAATGAGATATCAGATACAGTGATTCATGCCTGTAGCCCTATTAGAGAAACTGAGGCAGGAGGATCCCTTAAGCCCAGGAATTTGAGACTAGCCTGAGAAAGGTAGTGAGAGTCCATCTCTTAAAAAAAAAAAAAAAAATGAGAAAGCACCTTGGGAGAGAACACCAAGGGTGTGGCCAAATAACCATCTGATAAGGAGATTAGTCAACCAAGTGGAACCTATTGCTTAAGGTGGTGCAGAAGTAATTGGGGCTGCCACCATCACAGCTCCAATGTGCAAAAGCTTGAGCAAGCAAGCGTGAGACCCCAGAGACAGCCCTCGCTGGAGCAACATCCAGGATAGCTGAGAGGTAGGACCACTCCAGCAACCCCAGGCTATAGAGCCACAGACACAATTCTAGCTCGGGGAGCCACAAGGGCACAGAGCAGCCTTTGGAGAGGGCCACCACCCCCGTGGGTTGGGAAGGCAGAACCACAGCCCCAGTGAGCCTGGAGGACAGAACATTGAGCCAAAGATTATTCTCAAGACAAAATTTTGGACTTTGCTTGGGACCTATCCTTTCTTCTGTTCTGTTTCTCTCTTTTGAAATGGAAATGTCTTTTCTGTGCCTGTCCCTCCATTGTATTTTGGAAGTCTTTAACTTGTTTAATTTCACAGGTTCACAGCTGGAGGGGAAATTGCCTCAGAATGAATCATACCTTGCATCTTACCCATATATAATGTAGGTGCTATTTAAATGAGACTTTGGACTACAGACTTCCGAGTAGATACTGGAATGACTTAAGACTTTTGGAACCACTGGAATGAACTGGATGCATTTTGCATGTGAGAAGAACATGAAATTTTGGGAGGCTAGGGGTAGAATGTTATGGTCTGAGTGTTTGTGTCTCTCCCAAATTTATATGTTGAAATCCTAACCCCCACCCACTTAAGGTGATGGTATCAGGAGATAGAGCCTTTTGGGGTGATTAGGTTATGACTGTGGAGGTCTCGTAAATGAGACTCGTGCCCTTATGAAAGAGACATTAGAGGGACTCCTTCCTCCTTCTGCTTTGTGAGCTTAGAGTAAAAAGGCTATGAGGAAGCAGCCTTTACCAGACACTGAATCTGCTGGTGCCTTGATCTGAGACGTCCCAGCCTCTGAAACTGTGAGAAATACATTTCTGTTGTTTGTACGCCACCCAGCCTGTGGTATTCCATTGTAGCAGCCTGACCAGACTAAGATACCCTTGGATGAAGAGCAACCGGGGTAACATGTGGAAAAAAAAAAAAAAACTGCTCCAATACCAAGGGTATGCTAGATAGCGTTTAAACTTATGCTTGGTAGTTGCTTCTCATCATTCTTAGTTAATCATAAAGCATTCTACTTTTGTGGATTTTAAGTCCCTAGGAAATGATGCTGAAAAAAACAACAGCTTTGTGAGACCATCAGCAGCTGTAACATTGACATCTCTGCTTTCAAATGGGTTACAAAATTAAACAAGTGTCATCCAAAGGACCACCAGGATGGCTAGATAACAGAAAAGAGAGTTTCATTGGCAATACTGATTTACAAACTGGAAGAGAGAGTCTCCGGTGTGAACTGAGAATGCTATCTCTGAAGAACAGAGAAGGTTCGAGGTTTTATAAAATGGAGAAATGTTGCATATTGCTCTTTGAGAAGTTTCATTGGCACCTATAAGGTTTTGAGGAGCAAGGTCCAATTGGTGGTACGTGGCGGTGGTACACAAACTCAGTCTGAGAGTCGCCATAGGTCGTCTCAGTAGTCATTAGACAAAACTGGTTTTGGGTTACTGCACCAGTGTCAGCTGCCAGGCCTGCGGAGAATTACAGTTTTTTACAGCAATGCTCTTTACCCTGAGGGCCTTCTACCCTGGCTTATTGACTCTGTCTTTGTTGGGTATGACAAGAATGACTCAGTTCATATGATCAACTTTCACACAATAAAGCTTCATTTATTTATTTATTTAAATTGAGACAGAGTCTTGTCATCGAGGCTGGAATGTAGTGATGCATCATCGAGGCTCACTACAGCCTCAACCTCCCAGGCTCAAATGTGATCCTCCCACCTCAGCCTCCCAAATAGCTGGGACCACTGGCACATGCCACCATGCCCAACTAATTTATTTAGTTTTTGTATAGACAGATCTCAGTATGTTGACTAGGGTGATCTTGAACTCTTGGCCTCAAACAATCCTCTCACCTCAGTCTCCCAAAGTGCTGGGGTTACAGGTATGAGCCACCATGCACAGCGCAAAGCTTCATTTTAAGTCTCTTTTATTTACTTTTATTGATCCTAGTCATAACACATTGTAAGTATACTCTGATAGAGAATTAGATAGCATGTTGTTTTTTAAGTGTCTTTTCTAATTAACCTGTCATGTAGTTTAGTAAGAAAATATTAAAGGAGAATCTTGCCGGACAGATAGCCAGTACTGAATAAGAAGCCCATTTTGTTTGTGTCTGGAGGGATGAGACACTGTTAATAGTGAGGATAAGTTTATTTTAGCTTTGGTGAGAGGAGAACAAATCCACCTTTTCACAAGAGCTGCTTTCCCATTGCTTTTTGCTCCCTTCATCCCAACACCCGCAACCAAGGCAGTGTCAGTAAGTTTTGGGATGAAAAAGCCTTAGGTAGGCTTCTTATGGTTTTGAAACGTGACTGCTTGGAACTGGGGGAAAGCTGCACTAAAATTATGAAGCCGAGTGGTTATTAACCATATCCAGTAGTGGGTCATGTTCCTGTGCCGCCTTTATTTGCCCACAGTAACCTAGCAAGACATAAAATCACAGTGCGCAGTAGATGGCACCATTGAATGAGCCCTATTGTCTGCAGGAATCTGGGATGATAAGAAGATTATTACCTCATTTATTTTCGTAAGGAACTGTGTAATTATGATGATTCGAAAAAAAGAAAGAAAGATGAAAGAAAGGAAAGGGAGGAAGGAAGGGAGGGAGGGAGGGAAGGAAGGAAGGAAGGAAGGAAGGAAGGAAGGAAGGAAGGAAGGAAGGAAGGAAGGAAGGAAGGAAGGAGAAAAGGAAGAGAAAGAAAGACAGGCCCTGGTCTGACTGTTTCCTATGCTATTCTACTACAGCATTTAATATCTTACTGCAAATTTTGCTAAGTTATAACTTAAAAATGTTAAGTTTTTATTAGCACTTTGACAAACTTAGACTTCTACAGCAGAAGGTAGTGGATTAAAAGCTGGGCTGTCAACCATGTGCTCACCAGCTTAATGACAATGGAGAAATGTAATATAAAGAATTTGAAAAAATTTATGCAACATGCATGTTTCTTTTGAAATTTCAGTTTTCGAAAGCAAGGCTTGATGAGATGATCTTCATTTGTGAGAGTATGCAGAGGGCGGTGTGAAAAGATATGGCAGGGATCCATAGTTTAAAAATGGATTAAAAACAGTTCTACAATATGAAAAAATAAGGACAAAAAGTCATAATTTAAATTCTCAAGCTAAGTTCAATACATTTCAAAGTTAAACAGTAAACACTGGTAAGGAAAAGAAAACATAGAAATGGAACAACAGGGATCCATTAGAGTTGGATATCATTCGTTTACTAGTTTGAGGAGGAAAGTGAATAATTCTATATGTTTTAAAATCATAGAGAATGAACCTTGAAAATGTTTAATGCTTAGAAAAGAAAGTATTCATAATGGAAAGTTCTAACTTGGCCAAATTTCTTACTTTAAAGTTAGAAAATTAGATTTTTTGATTGTATAATTTGGAACACAAAATCAATAAGCAGGTAGATAAAAAGGAAAAACTACATATTAAGCCAGAATCATCTAATAAAAACAGTTTCTTATATGTAAAAGACTGTATGCTAACTCCTAGACCCCAAGGGAGAAAATGAGACTACAGTCAGGCGTCACTTAACAACAGGGATATGTTCTGAGAAATGCACCCTTAGGTATTACTGTCATTGTGTGAACAACAGAGTGTACTTAAACAAAGCTGAATGTCATAGCATATCGTTCTAGGTTACAAACTTATCTGTCATGTTATTGTACTGAATACTGTAAGCAAGTGTAACACATGGTATTTGTGTATCTAAATATATCCAAACCTGGAAAAGATACAGTAAAACTATAGTATGAAAGATTTTAAAAAACGGGACACCTGTACAGGACACTTAGCATGAATGGGGCTTGCAGGAATTGAAGTTGCTCTGGGTGGGTCAGTGAGTGAGTGGTGAGTGAATGTGAAGGCCTGGGGCATTACTGTTCACTACTGCAGACTTTCTAGACACTGGACACTTAGGCTAAGTTCAAATTTTTTAAATTGTTTTCTTTCTTCAATAGTAAATTAATCTTAGCTGTCTGTAACTTATAAACTTTTTGATGTTTTTAATTTTGATTCTTTCATGATAACATTTAACTTAAAACATGATCATGTTATATAAAAACATTTCCTTTGTATTCTTATTTGGTAAGCTTTATTTTTTACATTTTCAGATTTTTTTTTAAGTTTTTAATTTTTTTTTTGTTAAAAGCTAAGACACAAACACACACATGAGTCTAGGCCGACACAGGGTCAGGATCTTCACCTCCACACCTGTCCCACTGGAAGGTCTTCAGGGGCAGTAACGCATGGAGCTGTCATTTTCCATGAGGACAATGCCTTCTTCTGAATTCCTCCTGAAGGACTTTTCCGGAAGCTGATTAACATTTGACATTATTTTTATTTTAAATATTTTTTATTTAAAAAAAAATGTTAAATGCAAACCAGCTTCAGGCAAGTCCTGCAGAAGGAATACAATCTAAAATAATGATAAAAACTAGTAAAAAATAGTAAATATACAAACCAGCAACAGTCATTTATTATCATTATCAATACATATACATACACTATAACCGTATGTGCTATACTTTCATGCAAATAGCAGCGCAGAGGGTTTGTTTACACCAGCATCACCACAGACACTTGAGTAATGCATTGCCTTATGATGTTACCATGGCTACGACATTGCTAGGTGATAGGAGTTTCTCAGGTCCAATCTGTCATATCTGTGGTCCATTGTTAGCTGAAATGTCGTTATGTGATACATTGACTCTACTGCCGGCAAGCTCCTATTTAAGTAAACAAAAACAATAAACACAAACATGAGAAGTACAGGAGAAAGCCCACGGAGATAAGAAAATCCTGCTACGTAAAGGAAGCTACATCAGAGCAAGGGGCCAGTTCTCACCTGGAAGCCACAGTACTGCACACTTCAGCCAGATGAGTGTCGTTTGAACACTCACCACCCAGGCACTGTGTGTATGACCCCTGGGAATGGCCTCTGCAAGAAGCTAGTGGGTTGTTAGAAGCTTTAGGGGGGTTATTTTTAAGTTTCTGCTAATAAGCTCTATTTTGAGCTGACAATTTGTGTAGTGCGTAGGGCTAGAAGGGAATATTAGAGACTGTATGGCCCATTCTGTTATACTCTTCTCACCAGTGACTCAGAGGACCTGGCTAGGCTGTCTTTGACCTGTTTCTAATAGTGAAGAATTGGAAACACTTTAAATGTCCTTCCATTGGGGGGATGATTAACGTAAGTTATGGTGCTTGTATAGAGTAGAATATTGTATTTAAAGAACAGGGAGTTTTTCATGATTCAAAATGGAGTCATCTCCATCATATAGTGTTCAAAGAAAACTCCTTACAGTAACTTCTGGAGAGAACTAGAATTGAAGAAGACATGGGTAGTCAAGGGGACATTTGCTGCATCAGTGCAGTTTGAAATTTATATAATGAAAATGTACTTATGTATTGAGTAATTTATAATCATAAGGTACAATTTTGATTTCAACTTTTACCTGACATTCATGTTCATGTCTTTAGAATATAACTCATTCTATGGGCTATTGGACATCCTATCTTACTTAGCTGGTCATATCTCTGCAATTAGATATTTATTTAAAAATAGGGATTCCATCAGAGTTACCATTTAAATTAAACAGGAAGATAAGTATTTTATTGGAATTTAGTTTGTGCTTATATCACTGATATTAATTTTTGCCACAGGAACTCTACTTTTCAAGGTCACCACTAATTTGGTATGTTTCATGTTTCTTTGTCACAATTTAGAGACATTTCTCTATCTTCTTCCTTGATGACCTTACTGTTTACCATAGAAGTTCATCTATGTGTCTCCAAACTCCATTTCAAGAATATGAAAGGCAGGTAGCTTATGCGCACATTCTCTGGCCCTTGATAGATGTTTTGCTGACCCACCTCCTGATATCTGTAGAGTTACCCCAGGCTCTACCTTCCACCAGCCAGTTCCGTGTGTGAGAGGCACAGTCCTTTGTTACTAAACATGTTTTTGCTCTCTCCTGTCCTCTCATTTCAGTCTCACTATCTTAGAATCAGCTTCGTGGAACCACAGGAAAGACACGTTGTTCTTCTTTTGCAGGTAGCCAGTAACACCACCCTCTCACTGAGAGCCCCTAAGAAATAATATTAGGACTTGAGTTGACTTTTGATGCATCAGTATTCTTTGCATCATATAGTATACCTGGAGCGGTAGAGTGCAAAGTCTGTGGACTCAACTTGTTATTTGCATGACTTTGAGCAGGTTGTCTAAACTCTCAAAAACGCAGTCTTTTTATTTATAGAGTGGAAATAGCAAGTCTAGGATTTGAAAATTGTTAAGAAGGTTCACAATTCTGCATACACTACCGCTTATACATATATGGCAAGCAGCAAGATGTGGCTGTTTTTTTTGGGTGTTTTCAGCCCATTTTCCTCCTTTCTAGAACCTATCTCCTCAAACTGATGGATGCATGATGAGTTTCCCTTGCCTAAGTTATTATTATTATTATTTGAGATGGAGCTTAGCTCTTGTTGCCCAGGCTGGAGTGCAATGGCACGATCTTGGTCACTGCAACCTCTGCCTCCTGGGTTCAAGTGATTCTCCTGTCTCAGCCTCCCAAGTAATGGAATTACTTGCATCCGCCACTATGCCCTGGGTTAGTCTTTCTAATTGTTCTTTCACTGTGCTGCCATTTTTAGTGGAAACTTCATTGCAAAAAGTGCAAGGTTCTGATCTGTGGCACTTGAACTGTTTGCTGGCTCCTCTAACTTTTAAGTGTGGTGTATTAATTTAGTCCCTCTCTCAGATGTCCACTGTCAGGTAATGAATTGATGCAGTGTTCCAACTAGGAATGCCATTGCCTCTCTGTCTTGGCTTGTTAACAAGAAACCATTCATGAATGAGTAGAAACAACAATAAGTGTTTAGAAAAGTATTAATGATTGAGGCAGTAAAAAGTGATCCCAAGAAAACCCTAGACCACTTGCACCTGCCATGACTTGTTACCTCTGTGACCTCTGACCATCTGTGCCTCCTTGGTCACATGTATTGACTCTAGACCACTTTCAGTCTGTCAGCATTTCTCTTCAGTCTATTTAGAGCTTCCTTGAACCTTCTTTCTCTGGCAAACTTCCTTTTATAACATAAGCAAAATAAGAGACGATGTACATTCCTTATCGTGTGCATGGCAAGGACAGGAAGGAGGAACAGAGTTTATCCATGAAAAGTGTTGCTGTCAAAAGGGAATTATGAAATCCTGTTGTATGCAAGGTATCTCAAAGTTAGCTTTTTTTTGAAATTATGAAACAAAAACTTATTTCAAGCAAAGTGCAAAATGAAAATCTCAGAGAAAGTCAACCTGACCTGAAGTTTATTCATCACTGCACAATGAATTTCACCACACAATTGAGTTTCTGGCCCATGTGACACTGAAGTCACTAACAGCACTAGTGTTACTCTTCACTGTAGATTGGACAGTGCTGTGTTTGGGGATTCTGGAGAAATTAAAGTAGGAGAGGATGTGGTCTGCTCTCTAGGGCCACAGAGTCCAGTGAGAAAGATACAATTAATAAGCTGAACTCCAGGATTGCAAAGGAAATTCTGTTTTACAGAAGGGGAAGCATTGGGACTGATTTCAATATTTCTGTTGTGGCGTGGCTCTTTTGCAGCTTCTTCTTCTTTTTCTTCACATGTATCAAGCTAACTTAATGAAGAATGTATACATTCTTCCATATCATACTAAATAATACAAATAAGTGATACTGTTACAGGCTTGGGGTCACAACATGGGGCCATGGTAAGCTGCACCCTTCTCAAAAGCATCTGGTGTATGTGAAGAAGTTGCGTATCAGTGACTCACTCTGATGTACTCAATAGGAGCCCACAGATTCTCTGTCTTGGACTCATTAAGGAGCATTTAAATACCAGAAAAATCTAGCAAGGCATAGCCCCTGACTGGGTATTAGCCAGCATAATATCAGGGTTGTTGTAGTTAGAGTAGCCAGATGGGAAGGCAAATTTTGTAGGGGACTGTCATCAATACAACCTCCCATTATACGTATACTCAGACACGCCACACATGTGCATGTTCATTAACAGAAAACCCAGCATTTATGGAGTAGGAGGCTAGAATTCAAGAACATTAGTGAGTGAGAGCTTTGTCTCAGGATCATAACTAATTTTGAGGTCAGTTTTTTCAGCAGTCTTTGTTATGTTCAATCTTTTAGGTCTAAAAATTATGTGATGGCAGGCCTTAGAAAAATTTAACCCAAGTGAGCCAGATCTATTAACATTTTGCTAAATTCTTTGTGGTTTGTAATGGAGTTAAATATAATCATAAGATTAAAAAATATGTGTTTTGCTTCATGATTTATCTGAAGGTTCAATTGACTGAACTTGAGTAAATTATTCACCACTTCATTAAAATTCAGTAGGACTGAAAGTTTCCGTTGGATGCATTAAGCTGTCTATAGCTAATGAAACACTGCATAGTTGGTGCAGAGGGTGGTTTACTCAATATGGCCTGTGTTAAGTGTATGAAATGCAAATGATATGTAAATTCTATATTTTACTTTCCATTAACAAAAAATTATTTATGTACACATCAGAGGAGGAAAATTACTTTCAGTAAGGATCTGCGCAGTGCTGATTCTTAATCTCTTAGTGGGAATATATAATATTTTTACAGTACTAGCATAAAAATGTCATTACTGCAGAGAGAGGTCTTAGAGTCTTATAATGATTATCTTTATTGCTTGGAGATAACATTTTAGTAAATGAGATTTAGTTAACATTCTAATGAAAAGAGCTAATTTGAGAGAAAATTCCTAAGCTAAAATATTTTTAAACAACAAGTTTGTTTACTTTTCTTTCTCTCCTAGAACCTAAATCATGTAAATTATTGGAACAGATGGTACTAAAGATTTGAGCTGTGTGTTATACTTTTAGTAAAGCTAACTTATAAAAAGGCTACCAAAAAAAGTAATATAACAGACTTAAAGGGCTTCATGGAGTCCAACTGACTCAGCTGATCTTGTTTTCTTGACAAAATCAGTGTCAAAGCTAAATTCATCCATTGCAGCTTCTGCTTGACCCTCTGGTCCTGTGAGCACTATTATTAACATCTCCTTTCAGTCACAAGCTAGTAACTACATTTGTGAATGGCTCTCCCGTTGGCTTTTTTATGGTTAAATACATTTCCATTTTCAGACTTTATTTCCAGATCTCTGCAAGCTTCAAAACAGCCCTACTTGGTGCCTAGCTGAAGTTGTGGCTCCCATTAATTCAGGTGATTCTGTGATATCAGCTGCTTTCCTCAGAACAAGTCTCATTCTTCTTTCACGCTTTTTTTTTTTCTCAAAATGAAACATTCAAAGGCTCCCGATTCCATATGTTGCATGAACATTATTTGGCACCATCCTTCATGTTATTCTCAAGACACTCTCCAACTTGCCCATTTCCCTCTTTCAATATCAAAATTAGCCACCACATTCCAGGAGCAGCTGGGTGTGCAGGGACCAGATGCATTCAGGAATGGACGCTCAGAACAAGAGTGATTCTTAACCATTTGAGGACCCCTTTTGAGAATTGAAGCCCTGGAATCTCTCCATCAGAACTCGGATGTACAATCTCAGAGGATTCCTGGGCCTAGTTGTAGCTCATTCATAAACTGTACCTTCTGGGGCAGTGGATCAAGAACCTTGGCTCTGCTGTGGCAAGGCTGTAGATGGGAATAATTGAGGAAGATTTTTAATAATCACATACACTTGTATAAGCCTCAGGTATAAGGCAGAGAATTTGGGGGATTTGCAACTGAGGGGTTTGTTTATTATTTTAGAGATCAGATTTTGAAATTATTTTTCAATTATAATCAACCATGTGGATTTTTGTGAGAATCCAATTTCATTTAAAAAACGTATTTAGCTTGCTTTTTCCTGAATTGACTTGTTCAGACATGTTAGTTCTTTTAAGATGAAGTGCTCATGTTTTAAAAATAGCCACCAGGCCCCATGCCCAGCTGGGTTCTCTGTTGGTGTTGGCTGGATAAAGAGCCCCCTGATTGGCTTGATTTGGGAATAACTTCAACCTCGTAGAAAGTAAAACAGACATGTGTTTCAACCACTGGTCCTAATGTAATTTTTTCAATGTTTGTTTGTGGAATTTATGGCATCTCTGAAAATACAGAAATGACGGTGGAGGGGAATGTGTCAGTTTATGAATGTGCCATTTAACCAGATAATTGGGCAAAATTTTTACAAAAAGTATTCTCATAAGCAGTACAAAGTCAGGGATAACCATGTCCATGTGCATTTGTGTCTTTCCATAGTGTTAGACTTTTACTGATGCTATTTCGGTCACAAAAGCCAGGAGCTGCGTGGAATTGCAAGGAGGCAACTCTCCCTAGTACGTCCTGTTCACTCGGTAGTCAGAGCCGCAGGCACACAAGTCAGTTGTGTTGCAAACCATACTTAATAGTATACTTAATCAATAGGTACGTGTTACAGATCAAACATTTCACAGCAAACAAAGTAACATATAACATCAAGAGAAAAGGGACAAGGAGAAGGGTTAGCAAACCAGTCCAGGGAGACTCGGAGAGCAACAAACACACGAAGAATCCCCTGGTCTGGGCCAGGCGAGGGGTCCACAGGTTTTGCAAGGAGGAGTGTTTGGTGGGGACAGAGCCTTCCCAGCAAATGCCAGGTGCTAATCACAATTGACAGCAAGACAGATCAGTTAAGATGGCCATTTCGAGCTACTGATGTCTAGCTCTTTTTATGGCCACAGAGTCCTCTGGTGAGGACTGATAGTGACAGAATGTGCTTGTTTTTGCCCTTATCTGGTGGATGCAGATTTTTTTTTTTTTTTTTT